TTCTCTGCCCCACCCCTGCCCACACTGGACAGCCCGTTCTGGCCGTCATTTGGGTTCCGGAGAGGCTTTTACCCCGAGGGGACACAAAGGGGCGTGTTACCCTGGGGGGAACTGAGGGGACTGTTGTTCCTTAGGGGCCAAAGGGAGTTGTTTCCATGGGGGGCAGAAAGGGGGTTATTGTCCTGAGGGATCACAAATGGAGTTGTTACCCGAGGGGACATAAAGGGGATGCCGGGAAAGTGATGGCTGCAGCGGCAGAATCTCCTCAGCTCTGTGAGGCCTGGCGGGGGCTGCGGCGGGGCTAGGGATGCGCTCGGGGGCTGCGGGGAGCGCGGCTGTGGGCGGGAAGGCTGGAGGGCTCGGCAGAGTGGAGAGGAGGGTCTCGGGGGTTCCCGAGGAGGTTTTGAGGTCCGTGAGGGGCTTTCGAGGGGTCGCGGAGGGGATTTGGGTTCCTGAGGGCACTCAGAGGGGAGGGTGAAGGTCCCTGAATGGGTTTAGGAGGTCCCTGAAAGGGCTGGGGGCTTGGAACTCTCGGGGTGACTGTTTAAACGCCATGGCTGCACTGCGCAGGCGCTGGCGGAGTTCTCATAAAGGGAACTTCAACTCCCATAAGGCCTCACGGGGCTCCGCCATTGCCACTCGTGCCACAGCGCCCCCTGCGGGCTGGGCGGACCGACCGCAGGGAAAGCGAGTCCTGATGCTCCCCGAACCCCAGAGACCCCCAAAACTCAGCACACAGAGACCCCACAGGGAGGGAGGCCCGAGGGTCCCCTAAAGCCTTTTAGTGGAGTTCAGGGGGTCCCCCAGCCCTCAGGGGAGGGGTCTTGGTGGTTCTGCCCAAAATCTTTGCAGAGAAATGAACCACATGCGGGTAAGGGGATCCCAGTGCCCCCAGTATAGCCCAGTGACCTCCCACTGGCTCTCAGTATGGCCCAGTAACCCCCCAATTGACCACCCAGTGTTTCCCAGTGATCTCCCACTGCCCCCCAGTATGGCCCAATGATCCTCCACTGAGCACCCAGTAACACCCAGTATGGCCCAGTAACCTCCC